TAACATATATTTTATATTATTTTAAAATTAAATGTTAGTATATGATTGTTAATTAAAAGGTTGTTGTTATGCTTATATTTTTTAATAAATGAGGTATTTAGAAAAAGATGAATCTGATAATAGAAGAGCAGATTTTATGGCTACAGATTATTCATTTATAAGAAAAGAATATAAGACCAATTATAAAAAAGTATCATGGCCTATTAATGTTGAAATTTATGATGTTGATGATAAAAGTTTAAAAAAAGATTTATGTTTAATTGTAACAAATTTACCAGTTGACTGGAAAAAATGTGATATTATCTGGTTTTTTAGAGAATATTTTTACAATTTAGCTATTAATGAAAATGTTTTTTTCCCCCTAATTGAACAGGTTTACTTAATTAAAAATGAATCTTCAGCAATTTTAGCATGTCATGATGGAATATCGAAAGAAGTAATTCAAAGTTTATCAAAATGTATTATAAAGAATGTTAAAGATAAAAAAAAAATTGTTTTCACTATTTATCCATATTACAAAAGATACGATGTAGATGAAAAAGAAAAAGAAGAAAAAGAAGAAGAAAAAGAAAAAGATAAAGAAAAAGAAGAAGAAGAAAAAGGAAAAGGAAAGAAGGAAAAGGAAGTTTATAGTGAAGACGAAAAATATAATTTAAAGAGACTAAGAAAACGTTCTTTAACATATCCTAGAAGTAAAAAAAAAAAAAAAAAAAAAGAAAAAAGAAAAAAGAAAATGAAGATTTTATATGTTCATATAATAAAAAATTAATAAAGTAATTGAGTTGATATAAAAATAATTTAAATTATCATTTTTATGAAATTAAAAATAAGATAATAAATATTAATATCTTTCATTCTATATATACATTGAAAGAAATAGAAAATATTTAAAAATATTATTATACTTTAATTTTTTTTTTTTTTTTTTTACATATGTACATATGATAGAAAATGGACTAGAGTGGCCGAATAATATTGATTTAAGAAATTGTAATGATTTAGAATTAAGGAAAAAGTTATGTGTTTTTGGTAGATATAAACCATTACATTGGGGTGTAAGAGAATTATCTGAATTTTTAAAATATTATTTTGAGTCATTAAAAAAAGACATTGTTAATTTTGAAATTCCACAAATATGTGATATGTGGGCCGATAAAGGAACGCATTTAGTTACATTTGCATGTAAAAATGAGAAATCTAGATTTAGTATGTTGCTAATAAGAGCCTGCTATCTAAATGAAGAAGATGCAAAAAATAATTTAAAAAATTCCTTAAGAGGATGGTTAGAATTTGAAAAGTGGACTCCTTTTAAAAATACAATAAATTCAAGATATAAAAGCCATAAAATTGGAAGAAATGAGTATAATAAATATTCATCTATTCATGATCACGTAATTGATAAAAATTATAGGAGAAGAAATTATAGAAAACCATTATATGAAGAATTAGCAAGAAATAAAAAAAACTCTTTTAGAACAAATATGAATTTATCTAAATTAAGTAATGGATCAAATTATTATTTTCATAAAGAAGATCGAAATAGAAAAAACTATGATAATCTAAGAAATTCTTATAAGAAAATATCACCTTCTCCATTTTTTAAAAAACATAAAAAAAGATATTCTCGTTCTTCCTCAAAAAATTATTATAAAAAGAAATATAGAAAATCAAAATCTGTTGATTCATATAAGAATAATGATTATGCTTGGAGTAAAAACAGATCTTACAATAAAAATTTTTCAGATTCTTCTAGAAAATCGTATAGAAAATAAATATATAAAAAAAAAAAAAAAAAAAAAAACGAAAATATTTTATTAGTAAGAAAGAAATTTCAAAAAAATTGCCTTTCAATATAAATTATATTAGCAATAAGGAGTATTTGTATTAACAATTTTCAAAAAATATAATAATAGAAAATTTAAGAAAAATATTATTTACATTAATTAGAACAAACATTTCAACTTGCCTTTACTTGTAATAATTAACAACAACAACTAAATAGATAATATTGAAAATAAATTATATTTTAAAACATTTATGGTTATGAAAAAAAATGAAAATATTAGGATGCAAAATATCATATATTAATAATTATTTATATAGAATATTGATGGAAAATTTTTTTAAAGAAAATATAAATATTCTAAAAAAGGAAAGATGTATTCATTTTTTTTTTTTTTTTTGTTTTGTTTTTACCATTTAAAATGTGAATACTATTGATATTTTTTAGTATTTTTCTTATTCATTAAGAAGATAATAAATATTACCATTATTATAGTATTTTATTATTTTTTTTTTTTTCTCAAATAAAAGGATGCTACCAAAAATTTCATGAAATTTCATTTTTTTTTTACTTTCATTTATTTGCAAGTTTTAAATTTATTATTTTATATAATAATAATAATACAAAGTAGTAAATTAATAAAAATAATAAATTATTTACATATTTGAAATATGTATACACAAAGCTATCTATACGTATTTTAATATAAAAAATAGTAATATTTTGTGAGAATTGAATATTTAATAAAATTTAAATTAATCTGTATCTAAATAATATATTATAAAAAAATTTAATAAAGATGAATTTAGCATACAAAAATATACATATAAATCAAGAATAATTATATCTAATTTTTAAATTACTTCTATAATAGTATATATAACAAATATGTTATATAAGAATTTAAATTAAATATATAGGTATAAGGTAGAAAAAAATTATAAAGTTTTTCCATAGTTTTTTTTTTTTTATATAAATAATAAAAATGATACTTCTTGATAATGTATGTTGAAAAATAATTTATTTATAAAGAATTTTAAAACATATTTTTGTGAGTATGAAGAAATAATAAAAAAAAAAAAAAAAAAAAAAAAAAAAAACAAACTTCTCCAATGAAAAACAGTCAATATTATTTATTAATTCTATTATTCTTTTTAAAATAAAGTATAAAAATTTTAACATTTTTGTAATTTTATCTAATTTCTAATGATATTTTAATTATAGGAATAACCTTTTTTAAAAATATACATTTAAAAATTCCTAGAATCTTCAAACATTTAAATATATTTATTTTTTTCTGTTAACAATTCTTTTTATGAAATATTATTTTTCACATAATAGGAATTATATATATATATATATATATATATATATATATATATATATATACGCACCAATCTTTTTAAAACTTAAAGGAATTTAAAAAAAAAATAAAATAATTGTCTTTTGTAATAAGCTCATGAAAAAAAATTTTCAAATTCAAGAAATTCTTGTGTATTTAATTCTAGTTCTAATTTTGCTTCTCTATTTTTTTTTTGTGAGTTGTTATTCTTAGTTGTCTGTATGCTATTGTTAACATTGAAATTTATGTGAACTATTTCATTTTTTAATTTTTGTTTTTCTATTATTTTAGTTATTATACTTAAACATGTAACAAAAATAGAATTTTCATTAATTTTTTCATTTTTTATTAGATAGTTATTTATTTCTTCATTTATGTAATTTTTTATGCTGTATAAATTAGTAATTAATTTATTATCTAAAACTGTAATATTTTGACATAAAAAAAAAATGTTATTATTAATTTTTTTAATTTCGTTTATTACTCTTTCAATTTTTTCTTTTTTTTTTTTAAGAAATGATTCCAAATAATTATTATGTTCTTTTTTTTTTAAGAGAAAATCTTCTAAAATTAAAAATGTTCTATCAATATTTATATCATTAAATATATTTTTTTTAATTATATTATTTATCTCTTCCATTCTTTTTATATTTTCTTTTATCTCAAATTTTTTTCTTTTCAATTCTTTAAAATAAGAATCTATTTTAAAATAAGTATCTTCTATACTTTTAGTTACTTTGATACTTTCGTATTTTAAATTATTTATTTTAAATTCCATTAGTATATTTGTTTCTTTTTTTTTTAATAAAACATCTTTCTGTCTTATCAGTTTTTCATAAATTGTACTAGATTCATTTTTTAGTTCTCCTATTTCTTCTCCTAAATTCTTTATTTTCTTTTCTTGAACATTTATCTTATTTTCTATATTTTTAATTTGTTCTTCTATACTACTCATTTTAAAATTACTATAAATAATTTATAAAAATATATATGTTTTCATAAACATATATTTTTAATCTTTTCTGTATTATAGTCATTTATAATATTATCATGTAAAAATATATACAATAGATTTTTTAAAGTCTGAGTTAAAATTTTTTTTTTTTTTTTTTTTTTTTTATTACAATTAAAAATTTTTTATATAAATGATTTTTTTGTACAACTTTTGAAATAGAATAAAAAATTATTATAAACATACAAATATCATACAAAAAAAAAAAAAAAAATAAAATAATAAAAAATAAAAATTAGACAATATAATTATATATAAAAATAATTATTTAAAAATTGCTTTTTTTACTATAAATCTATTTATTTATATAATAGTTAAAATGTAAAAATAAAAAATTTCTTTCACCAATTTGATATGTATTTATTTTTAGAATTTTTTCATTTTAAGAAATATATTTACATATTAAGTCGTATGCTGATTACATAATAAAATAACAAGCATTTTAATTATAAGTTATTTATATATACATTTTATAATTATATAATTTTTACAAAAAAAAAAAAAAAAAAGTTATTTAATTTTAAAATAAAACAAAACATTAATAGTTTTATTTATAAATTTTTCTATAATTATTATTTTGTTTATAAAAAAAAAAAAAAAAAAAAAAAAAACAAATTCTATGAAATCTCACAAATAATAATAAAAGAAAAAAAAATGTAAGATTATAAATATACATTTTTTTATATTTGGAAATTAGGAAATCTCTCTCTCTCTATATATATATATATATGTACAAAAAGAAAAAATAATACAAATAATTATAATTAGAAAAAAACTAATTACTATCTTCATTTTTATAATTTTCTATTTCTTTTTCTTCTAAAAAGGAATGCATAGAATATTCACTACTTGTTAAAGATCTTTCATTATCTATTGAGATAATTTCTTGTTTAAATATTTCACCATTAATATTTACGTTACTTTCATTAATTACTTCATTTTCATTTAAAGTATTTTCATTAATTGTATTATTTTCTAAATTCTCTCTCTCAATTTGGTAAATTTTATCCATTTCATTAGTAATGTCGTAACAAATTTGTCCATTTGCAATAATTAAATTACATTGACATTTCTTGTCAACTTTTAATTTATTGTTTTCTAATGATTCTCCAAAAACATTACATTTTTTATAAAAACTTAAAAGTGGAGTAAAAAATGCCATAACACTTGTTAATACAGGTGTTGATGAAACTGCACTTTGAGATGCAACTGCTGTTGGTATTACTGTGTTCGGCAAAGCTGCTGATAAAGGAGCAGTAGAAGAAGCAACAGCAGGAGTAACAGAAGGATAAAACGTAAATGGTATGCAACCACAACAAGTTCCTGAACTAATAGATCCTGTTAAAGCAGCAACAAAAGATGTTAAATGATGTGGCATTTTAGAAAAAAAAAAAAAAAAAAAAAATATATATATATATATACAAGTAATATTAAGAAAAATGAAGTTATCTGTGTATTTACTTTATATAAAAATATTTTTCAAATAATAAAGAATTAATATAGTATATAAATTTATTATGCTATTTTATATATATATATATATATATATTTCAAAATGATGGTTGTTTTAAAAAAAAAAAAAAAAATAACATTAACAAAATTCGATTATATAAAATTATATAAATGAAAAAAAGGTGAGATAAAAAAAAAAAAAAAAATAATAATAAATTACACTATTTTATCTTTTAAATTTTTTTTTTTTTTTTTACATCATTAAGTATACAACTTGATATTTTAAATACTGTTTTTCTGTTTTTCTTTTTTTTTTTTTTTTTTTAGTATAAAAAATAAAAAGTATATTTCTTTTTAACATTGTAATATTTAATTATAATAGATTTTTTTTTTTTTTTTTTTTTTTTTTTTCATTCTTGAAAAAAAAGATATTAATCTGGAAAACATGAATTAATACAATTAAATGAAAGTTTATACTAAATGATATACATGCAAATGTAAACTTTTAATAAAAATAAATTAGGTTAGAAAAGTATCATCTTATATTAAAATAGGATAAAAAAAATTTTATATAAATTACTTAAAAAATTATCTTGATACACATTTATATGTATTTATAATAAAAAGAAATTTGAATATCTTCTAAATATATCGAAGAATATAGGAAATAGTTACAAGTTTGAAGTTATGCAAAAATAAGCTTACAGTATCTTTAAGCTTATTTACATAAAAAAAAAAAAAAAAAAAAAAATTGAAATGAATATATAAAATGCTTTATATTAAGAAATAATCTAAAAGTGAATATAAATATAAAAAATTACGAAAATCCTTATTAATAATAATTTAGAATGAATATTATAAGCTTAAAAAGATTTTTTCTACTTATCTTTTTTTAAATACCCGAATATTTTGTAAATGATTAAAATTAATAAAAAAAAATTGTTTTTAATTTTTTGTAAAAAATAAAATATTTATATATATATATATCTATATGAAAGTACTAAAAATCAAAAAAGAATCTATGATTTTCCAAGAATTTATCATATTTTAAAATAGTTTTTATTATTGAAATGAAATACAAAGGAAAATTTTTAAAAATAGAAAAGCCTTGTTCAGATTATTTATATTATTTTATTAATATTTTTTTATACATATTATCACTTTTTTTCTTTTAAATATAAAACTTTAATTATCTTAATATGTATATTTTTAAATATATATATTCCTATGAAAACTATATATACTTTAAAAATAAATATTATTAGGTATATTTTCTTTTCTAAAATTTTCTAGAAATGCTTCATACTATTTTGAAATTTATTATTTTTAATAAATGGTATTTATTTATATTACAACGTTTTATTACTTTTCATTACTATTTTTTTCATATATTTTATATATACTTGATGTGCATTATTTATTTCTTGTATTTATTTTTTTTTTTTATTTAGTTTAAGGATTCTGTATTAATTAAATATTTACCATTTTTCTTTTTATTGAAGCTATATTTATATTTTTCATTAGTAGTTAAATATAAGTATGTTATTAAAAAAAAAGTATTCATATATATATATATGGAAGTTTCATAACCAAAATTAAGATAATCAAATATTATTTTAAGAGAAAAAATTNNAAAAAAAAAAAAAAAAAAAAGATAAAGGAGAAGAAAGTTTTTAACTTATGTGATTTAAAGAGTAATAATTAAAATAAAGATTAAGTAAAATAAATTATGNGGAAAAATAAAATTATAACAATGAATCTTTATTATTATAAAAACATATATTGTTAAATTTTATATACAAATTAATAACAACTAAGAAAATTATTTATGTATTTATTTTATTTGGAAATATAAGTAAGAAATAATATACACAAAAAGAAAAAAAAAATAATAAAAAAAATAAATAAATGTGAATATTTTATAAAAATAATGATTATCTGAGTTTATAAATATGAAGTAATATAAATAAAATAAACAAAATGGGATCAAAAAACAGAATGTTATTTTATAGTAACATATTATTACCACATAGAAAATTAGAAAAGAATTTTTTATCATCATATAAAGATAGAAATTATGAATTTAAGAAATACCAGGATTTCATATCATATATTTTGTCATTACTTCCACTGTTAATAATTAGTGTAATTCATATTTTAATTAAAATAAATAGTTACACTATTGGCAATTTGTTTTTAATAATATCTTATTTATTTTCATTTTTCTTCTTCATATTATATTATTATAATTCCCATTTTATTTTTGTTGCATTTGTTTATTTTTCTTTTGTAATATCATTATGTCTGCATGAATTTGCTCACGCTTATGTTGCTTTTAAGTGTGGTGATATAACTATGATATATAAAGGATATTTATATTTAGATATTTTGAATTATTTAGATATTTTTCATACATTAATTATACCATCAGTAACATTATTTATAACCGGATTTGCACTACCTGGAAATTTATATTGGCTACAATTACATTTTATAAAAAGTAGATTTCATTTATCTCTTATATTTTTATCAGGGCCATTGTTAGATATTATTTTTATTATGTATATTATTTTTTTTTATAATTTATTAACATATTTTAAAAATAAGAAAATTGTAAATGTGCAACCACATTCTATATTGTTCATATCTTTAGCTACATCTGCTTCATTTTTAGTAGATTCTTTTTTATTAAATATGTTTCCTATAATTGGGTTTGATGGATGGGGAATAATTGAACCATATTTACCTTATTGCATAAATAGCATGTAAATATAAAAAAAAAAAAAAAATAATATGTATATATAAACTATTAACATAATTTAAAAAAAAAAAAAAAATATACAATGAAAAAAATATTTTAATTATATCACTATGAAAATATTTATATGCTTATATATTTTTTTTTTTTTTCTTTTTAGAATTAATGAAGAAATTGTATACACCTATTTGTCATATATATGCCCCCTTTGTGTTTTTATATATTTTAACTTTATTGAAACAAAATACCTTTTTTTCACAAAGGTTGTCAACTTTATATTAGAAAAAGCATTAGGAATTAAAATATCACATGTTACAAAGGGAGTTAATAGCTTCCCAACTTTATATTCTTATCTTAGAAAAATATAAATATTCAAGATATTTTTTAATATTTTTTTTTTTTTAATTTAATTTTCATTTTCCATTTGCATATATAATGTCACTAATTTCTTTTTAGTAATTAAATTTTCTTTTAAAATTACCTATAAATTATTTTTAATTTTTTAATATAAAAATAAATGTATGAAATGATTCAAAACATAAATTAAAATGATAAATGCTTTTATAGAGAAATGAAATATTTATGTATTATAAATTTTATGCTTGTTATATTTTTATTCTATCTACCTAATGAAAATTTAATTGTAACCCTTAAAATAATTATATGTTCATAATAAATCATAATTAAGGAAATAATTTTATATTATTATTCCTATTATATCAATTAATATATTCATATATTTTAATATTAAATTATTTTTCTTAACTTTATATAAAATGTTTAAAATAAATAATCAATTCTTTGTAAAAAATTCTTAATAAAATTTTATATATTTATAATGTATCATATTTATTCATTGAGAACAAAAAAAAAAAAAAAAAAATATGTTTTTAAAAAGAAAAAATAAAAATTATGAAAATGTCTCTTTATATATAAAATATTTTATAATGGATAATAAAATATTTATGATAATAGTGATAAACTATTCTTAATTTAAATAATTATTAATTATTATAAATGGTCTTAATATATCTGAAAAATATATAGGCAAATAATCATAAGAACACATTTGTGCTATATAGTTCTTATTTTGAAAAAGATTAATATTAATTTTAAATATAGAATAATAATAATCTGCAAACTTATCAATTTTTTGTAAAATACAAGATATTTTATCCATGTAAAAAAATTTTAAATTTATTATAGTTGGATATACATAAAAATAAAAAAAAGATGCTAAAAGATACTTCAAAGATAAAAACATCATATATATTTTTTTATCAATTTTTTTGTTTTCTAAATTTTCTTCTTTTATTTTTAAAGTTATTTCAAACTCTTCTCTAATAGAATTATCTTGATTATTATTTACAATATAATCAATACAAATAATGATATTATTATATATTAAGGAAAATAAATTATATTCCATATTTTTATTTTTTTCTTCTAAATCATTTTCTTTTATCCTATTCATATCAATTTTATCAAAAAATATAATTTTACATAAATTTATAATTATTAAGGAAAAGTAAGGCATTTTAAATGAATTTTCTATTTGATCATCATTTATAATATTTATAGTTATTTCTAAAAGGTTGTTAATCTCTTCAAAATCTATTTTTTTACAGTTGCATATATGAAATAATATAGATGGCATTATATACTTATAAGAAATGTTTTCTTTTTTTGCAGTTTTTTCCTTTATTATATTAACGTCTAATATTTCTTTTTCATTTATAGATAGAATGTATTCCTTCGTATTTGCTAGAATTATAAATGATCTATTTATTTCATACTTTTTAATTAATCTTCTAAAATTATCACTTTTAATGATATTTAATAAAGATTCATTTTCATTATTCACATTTGATTCTCCATTAATCTTTTTATTTTTCAATTGATTTTTTAACACATAATACTCCAAATTAAAATTGCTTTTTATTAAAGATTCATAAAAATTTTCTAAAAAACTAAGTGTTTGAGAATTTATATTTAAATTATTGCATATTTTTAAAATATATGCAATTATTAAATTAACATTGTATTTTTTTGTAAAAATTATATAACACATACAAATAATTAAACTTATACTGTTTATTTTCTCTTTTGTTTGGTTTTTAATACCCTGATTGCATATTATTAATATGTTTTCTTTTTCCATTTTTTTCTTTATGCTCTCACATTCATTATTTATATCAAATTCATTACTTTTTAGTTTTAAATTTAAAATTTGATTGTCATTTTCTCTATTTTCATTATTATTTTTACCTTTATTTAAAACTTCATTAGATGATTCACCTTTTACATTATTAACCATACTGTATATAACATCATATATCATACGAGTGTCTAAGAAATTGTAAAAATTTATAGATTCATTTTTTAAAAGATTTTTATTTTCTAACTTTTTTTTTAATACATCATATCTATAATAAATTAATTCATAATCATCTTTTATCACAAAACCACTGGAAGTAAAATCATATATATGTTTTATTTTTAAAAATTTATTTACAAATGGATTATTAATATGAACAAAATTTCCTAAATAAATATTATCACAAATTTTAATTGGATAATTAAAGTAAGGAATATATTTTTGTGAAAACTCTTTTTCATCTTCATTATTTAAGCATAAAAAAAAATACTCTTTTTCAAAATTTTTATAACCTCCTTTTAAAAAATAGAAATCCGCTTTAACGTTAAAAAAATAATTACTCAATATATAATTATAATCATTTAAATCTTTTATTTCTTCATTATCATAAAAAATAATTTTTACTTTTTTCTTTGATTTTATTTCATTCTTTATTTCATTAATCTTACTTACATTTTTTATACTTATAGAATTCTTTATATGATTTTCCTTAAATAATTCATCAGACCTTATATCAATAATAAATAAACTTTTATTTATTCCTTCATCTGGTAACAACTGAATATAATTATACATATAAAAAGAATTTATTAACTTAAATTGTATTCCACTTTTGTTTTTTTCTTCATTTTTTACTTCTTTTTTTAAAGCTTCAAAATCTATGCTTTTGTATATCATAATTTACAAACAAATTTAATAAAAAAAAAAGATAATTATAATAATTAAAAGTACTTTTTTTCTGACTAATAAAAAATTATATTTTCTTCATAAAAAATGAATATAATAAATATATAGAAAATATTTATTAAATGGAAAAAAAAAAAAAAAAAAAAAAAAAAAAAATTGTAATATATTTTATTTATTTGTTCTTTTTTTTTTTTGTTGATTTTTTTATTTCCTAAAAATTTTAAAATATTAAATTAATAATTTATAAACTAAAAGTTGAGTTTAATTATATATCTATATTTTTGTGATATTTTTTTATATTATGTATAAAAATAGATACAAAAATATTTTACCCACAATGAATTATATAAAAGTATATTATTTAACTAAACATTTTTAAATTATTGTGGTAATAAATCAAAATAAAAATTGCTTGAAGGCATTTTTATTTTATTTTTTTTTTTTTTAAATTGTGAAAATAATAAAGTCATTTTCTTTTATGAATTTTAAAGAAAAGAGAATGGCTGAAAATATTTGTATTGAAAGTAGAAATGAAAAAAAAGACTATGAGAATTTTATATACAATGATAAATGTTCTCTTGTTTTATTAATTGATGATAAAAATAAAGGAAAAGAGGAATTTGATGAAAGTAAGACAGTAATGAATGATATAAGTATATTAAATAAAATTGATAAAGCAAACAAAAGCAATGATGAAATGAAAAAAAAATTAAATGAATTAAATAATAATAATAATGATATATATAAAAATAATAGTAAATTAAACATAAATAATGACGAATTATGTCAAAATAGTTTTAAATTAGATAAAAATAAGGTTGATAAAGACAAAAAAGATGAAAAGTTATTTAAAGGGTGTATAAAACTATATGTAGGCTTTGATTATTCTACTTTTGAACTGGATACACGATATAAAGTTATTAAGTTTATTAATAAAGGTAGCCATTTTTTACATTGGAATAATGATGTATTATATGATCATAATAATAAATTAACAAAAGAATTTAAAATGAATGAAATGAAAAAAAATAATTGTGAAGAAATAAGAAATAGTAGATTTATATATTTTGATGATAAAAAAAAACTATTGGTATTGAAATATGATATTAAGGATAATAATTTTAAGTATATAAGAGAGGATGATAATATTTATAAATATTTTTATAATTTGCATGAAAAAGATTTTTTGGACGATTATATTTTAAGAGAAGAAAAAAACTCCATTTTAATTTATCCCTATACATATTCAAAAGTATGGGTAAGTTTAACAAATTATATAAATGATGAAATAATAAATAAAATTGAACCTGTAAATAAAACATTTTGTTCATCTTTTTTAAAAGATGATAAAGATACAAATAATTTAGATAAAGAAGAAGAAGTAAATTTATATAGTCAACCGTACATGTTTTATTCTGTAATACCAAAATATCCATCACACCTATCATATCATAAAAAAAAACAGAAAAAAGAAAATCCTAATGTAGAAGAAGAAAAAAAAGAACACAATATAGAAGATGATGATAATATAAAACAAGAAGAAGATAATTTAAAGTGTGTGGATACAAATAAAAGTTTTTTTGAATATTTATCTATTGAAAATGAAAATATGAAGTATACCCCTTCTTATTTAACTATGATAAATATGGACAAATTTTGGATTATAAAAGAGATAGTTGAACAGGAATATACATATATATGTTATAATAATGAAAAAGTCAAAGGTTTTACTAAATATGAAAATAAATTTTTTTATATATTAGGAGAATTTCAATTTTCTTTTGTTTTATTTCATCTTGGTTTTAATTATCAGTCATTTTTACAATGGAAAAAACTTTTTGAATTATTTTGTAATTCTCAACAATTAATAACAGAATTTAAAGGTACATATAAAGAAGAAAAATTTTAATATTTATTATAAAAAAAAAAAAAAAGAAAAAAAAAAAAATAATAAATTTTATATAATATATATTAAAATTACTATACATATAATTTATAATAAATTTTATTTTTTTAGATTTTTATGAAGAAGTCTTAAAAGTTATTTCTGTTCATTTAAATTATTTAAGTGATGATTTTTTTGATAATACAGAAAATAGTTTTATTTTATTTGGAATTTACAATATATATGAAATAATTAATAATTTAGAAAATGTTGAAGAAAATATCAAAAATTTATTAAATACTATTGACTCAAATATTTATAATAAAATAGGTTTGCATTTACCAGATTTATCTTTTGTATATGAAGAATTTCAACCAACCTATGTAGATGAAGATTAAGCAAATTAATATTATTTTTATAAAAAAAATTAATAAATTATAAACTTTAAAAAAAAAAAAAATTTATCAAAAAAAAGAAAAAAAATTTATTGTATCATGAGATTAAAAATTTAACATAAAATGTATTAATTATAACTTTTTTTTTTTTTTTTTTTTTTTTTAAAATTCATTTAATAAAAATATTTAACGTTTGACGAATGAAAAAAAGGAAAAAACAAAAATATTAATGTCAAATATTTTAAATTAAATAATATGTGATATGGAAATTGTATCTTAGTGGTATCTTAATGATTTAATACATATAGGAAGTATAATAAAAAATTTAATAATCATATAATATTTTTAATATTTAAATTTTTTAATTTATTTTCATCTATTCATTTTTTTGTAACATTTGAATCATTTATATATTTATTTAACTTCTCCAATATTTTATGATTCATTAAAAGTGCCCTGAAAATTTTTTGATCATCTTCCTTATGTTTTATTTCATTATCTATAGATGAACAATTTATTGTGTTAAAAAATTTTTTTACTTGATTGTCTTTATCATCACAATTTAATTCTCTGCATAATTGTTTATACAAATCAATATTTTTTTCAATATTTTCCTTATTTATTTTATTCTAAAAAAACAAAAAAGAAATTAATATTTATTTATTTATTTTTTTTTTTTTTAAATAAATTTTCTTATTTATTTTTATATTTTTTACTTGTGCATTATTTTCATCATTATACATCATATTTAAATTATGAAAATTTTACTATAAGAAAAGATATTGTAAAATATAGAAATAGGTGATTAAGTTTAGTCTCTTATTTAGTATTGTTTCATATAGTTGTTTTTCAATTTTACTTAATAAAATAAAAGATTGTTGTTATGTACACATGTCAATTATTATAAATTATAGAAAAGCAAAAAAAAAAAAAAAATAAAATAAAATAAATAATGTAAAATAATTGAGTATGCTATTTTTTTTTTTAAGCTTGATAAATATTTATTTTGAATATAAAAAAAAAGATTTTAATTCTATTTTTTTTTTTTTTTCTTTATTATCTTAAATACAAATACTTTTAATAAATTATTTCTTAAAAAAGATGAAATTTTAAATTTTAATGTATATTATAATTAATCTTTTAATACACTTTTTTTTTTTTTTTTTTTTTAAAGTACAACTTTAAGTTAATTTAATTTTTTAAATTAATACTGTTTCATTTTTGTATATATAATTTTATCCTGTTTTTTTTTTTTTTTTTTATATGGAATATTATTAGAAAAAAAGCAAAAAAAAAAAAAAAAAAAAAA